TTCGTGGCCCCCTCGCTGCCCTTCGTGGCCCCGTTGCAGCCCTTCATGGCCCCCTCGCTGCCCTTCGTGGCCCCTTGCCCCCTTGCCCTTCGTGGCCCGTTGCAGCCCTTCGTGGCCCCCTCGCTGCCCTTCGCTGCCCCCGTTGCAGCCCTTCGTGGCCCCCTCGCTGCATGTCGTGGCCCCGTTGCAGCCCTTCGTGGCCCCCTCGCTGCCCTTCGCGGCCCCATTACAGCCCTTCGTGGCACCCACGCTGCCCTTCGTGGCCCCGTTGCAGCCCTTCGTGGCCCCCTCGCTGCCCTTCGTGGGCCCATATATGTATGCCCTTCGTGGCCCCCGCTCGTTCGCGCCCGTCGTGGCCCCCTGTGCGTGCCCATCATGGCCCCGCTGTCGCCCTTCGTGGCCCCCTCGCTGTCCTTCGTGGCCCCGTTGCTGCCTTCAGTTGCCCCGTCCTTGCCCTCCGCGGCCCAATGTACGCACGCCCTTCGTGGCCCTCGCTCGTTCGCGCCCGTCGTGGCCCCATGCGCACGCCTTTCGTGGCCCCGCTTTCGCCCTCTATGGCCCCCAACGCTGTCCTACGTGGCCCAGTTGCTACCCTCGGTGGCCCCGTCGTTGCCTTCTGCGGTCCCGCATCATCTGCCCTTCGTGGCCCCCGTTCGTTCGCGCTCTTCGTGGCCCCATACGCGTTCCCTTCCTGTCCCCGCTGTCGCCCTTCGTGGCCTTCTTCGTGCCCTTAGCCCTGCTGTCGTTCTCTCTCTCGCTCTCTTTTTCGCTCGTCGTCGCCGTCGCCGTCGCCGTCGCCGTCGCCGTCACCGTCGCCGTCGCCGTCGCCGTCGCCGTCGCCGTCGCCGTCGCCGTCGCCGTCGCCGTCGTCGTCGTCGTCGTCGTCGTCGTCGTCGTCGTCGTCGTGGTCGGTCCCCTGTCCGTCCCTTTTGGTGTCGGGCTGCCGCCGATCAGCGCTGCCGCTGGCCAGACCGACGGTCCGCGGCCGCCCCGCCGCTTGCCGGGGCCCGGCCTGCAGAGAAGAAAGGTATACCCCCCAAAAGGGGCACGATCGAAGACGAAGAAGGCGGGTATCGATGGTTTGGGAAATACGCGTTAACGGACGATCGAGCCGATAAGAGGGACAAGTCTGAAAATGATTGTTGTTGTTGCTGTTGAGTGTTACTTTGTAAAGTATCCCAGTGCGGCCATATCTAGGAGTTGGAGCATTTAGGAAAGCAGCATCTACATCTACACCGACAGCTAGCTTATCTTATCATAGCTTAGCTTAGCGTAGCTTGTGATGCTAGGCTATGCTATGTTATGCTATGCTGCGCCATGCTATGCGATGCTATGCTGTGCTGCGCTATGCTATGCTATGCTATGATATGATATGCTGCGCTATGCTAGGCTATGCTAGGCTGTGCTATGATATGCTATGCTGCGCTATGCTATGTTATGCTATGATATGCTATGCTGCGATATGCTATGCTATGCTATGCTATGGTATGCTATGCTATGCTGTGCTATGCTATGCTGCGCTGTGCTAATGCTGCGATGCGCTATGGTAAGCTAAGCTAAGCTAAGATGAGACAAGCTAAGCTAGGCTAAGCTAAGCTAAGCTAAGCTACGCGAATATGATATAAGCTAAGCTAAGCTAAGCTGGGTGACCCCAGGGGCTGCAACAGGGGGAACCGCGGGGCGGATGCCAGGGGAACCGCCCGGGGCGGTTTCCACTGCCCGGCCCCTTTAAGATAGAGAGTAAGAACCCTTCTAGGCAGAGCCTAAGTAGGGAACAATTATTATTGTTGGACCCCCCAGGCACTTTGCTTTGGCGCTCTCGCCTCGGCGCTGGCTACATTATCATCGAACATGAGGCTCACGCTCGAGCGGTTTGGGGGGGCACTAAAACCAGCCCCCCCACAACAACAACGCTCCTGCTCGAGACTTCCTCCTTTTTTACTCAGGGCCGGTGCTCTTGCTCGCCGCCGAAAACCGCCGTCCCAACAAAACCAGCGTTCCCGCTCGAGACCTCCTCCCGTTTTACCTTGGACTGGCGCGTTACGCATTCTCTCATCGGCGCCGCCCACAGCAAGAACAACACTCACGCTCGAGACTTCCTCCCTGTTTTGCTCAAGGCGGTGCTCCTCCTCGCCGCCGAAAACCGCCGTCCCGACCAAACCAGCGCTCCCACCCGAGACTTCCTCCCGTTTTACGCTGTAATGGCGCTCGACTCTCTTTTGAATTGGCGCCGCCCCCAGCTAGAACAACGCTTCCGCTCGAGGCGTCCTCCCTTTTTCTTCCAGACGGTACTCGAAACTTCCTTCCTTTCTATTCAGGGCCAGGTCGTTGCCTCGCCGCCGACAGCCCCCATCCCCACTACAGCAATCCTGTCGCTCGATACTTCCTTGTGCTTTACCCTTGTCTGGGGTTCCAGTGGTGGTCTCGCATCGGCGCAGCACCGCGCGGGCATGTGTTTTCGAGGTGGGATATGTTGAAATTATTCGGAAGTGTGTTGCAAGACCTCATTGGGCCGCGGTGGGAGATCTGGGAATGGGAATAACGGACCCCGCTATCAAACAAGAGTCCCCCCATGATGGGGATGGTTATCATGATGGTCACATGCTTCGTGTGGAAACATCGCACATGAGGGTAAACTGATTGTTGTTGTTGGTGTTGTTGCTCTTGGTTGGTATGATTGTTGTTGTTGCTGTTGTTCTTGATGTTGTTTGTTGTCGTCGCCCCACCCGCAACCCACCCGCGCCCACCCTGCGACCCACCCCGCGAAACACACCGCGACCCAACCCGCGACCCATCCGCGACCCACCCGCGACCCACCCGCGACCCACACGCGACCCACCTGCGGCCCACACCCCGCGACCCAACAGCGACCGAACCGCGACCCACCACCGACCAATTTGCGACCCAACCCACGTTGGTTTAGCGAAACAATGGAGCGGTGGGGACGTCGGCAGTCTGCGCGACTCTGGAGAGGCCCGCCGCAGGCGCCAAAGTTTCACACACCATGCAACGAACCCGCCGCAGGTGCCGATTTTGCCATTCAACCAATGTGGGTGGGTCGCGGGTGGGTCGCGGATGCGTCTGAAATGGGTCTCGGGTGGGTCGCGGGTGGGTCGCGGGTGGGTCGCGGGGTCGGTCGCGGGTGGGTCGCGGGGTGGATCGCGGGGTGGGTCGCGGGTGGGTCGCGGGTGGGTCGCGGGTGGGTCGCGAGTGGGTTGCGGGTGGGTCGCGAGTTGGGTCGCGGGTGGGTTGCGGGGTGGATCAAGAGGCGGGTCGCGGGGTGGGTCGCGGAGTGGGTCGCGGGGTGGGACGCGGGTGGGCCGCGGGTGAAACGACGACAGCAAACAAATACCAACAACGCAACAATGCAACAAGCATAATCCTCACCACATATCCCTTTTCAGCGACGCGTCCAGGAAAGATGAATGACCGTTCGGCCCCCTCACTCTGATCTATACATATATATACACACATACACACCAAGCGGTCCGAAGAAGCCAATAACAACATGCAATAGGAAGGCGTTACACATATATTGGGTACCGTCCGCCCCCCAAGGAGGACGGAAAAGGTGAAGCCACTCGATCATTGAAGTGGGAAAGCGCTTTAACGTATACTGGAATCTGTGAATCCCTGGATACGTAGCACCCCGCAGATGCGGATAAGAGTGAGGGGCAGGTGGGGACGTCGACAGTCTACGAGACTCTGGAGAAGCCCGCCGCAGGCGGCAAAGTTTCACAAATCATGCAACGAAATGCCGCAGGCCCCGATTTTTTCGTTAAACCAATGAGGGTAGGTCGCGGGTGGGTCGAGGATGCGTCTAAAATGGGTCGCGGCTGGGTCGCGTTGGTTCGCGGGTGGGTCGCGGGTGGGTCGCGGGGTGGGTCGCGGGTGGGTCGCGGGTGGGTCGCGGGTGGGGTCGCGGGAAGGTCGCGGGTGGGTCGCGGGTGGGTCGCCGGTGGCACGACGACAACAAACAAACAACAACAATGCAACAACGCAACAAGCATACTCCTCACCACGGACGGATTCCCACTTCAGCCACGCACCCAGGGACAACGAATGACCGTTCGCCCCCCTCATTCTGACCTACTTTCAACGACGAATGTGTATGTATACTTACGTACATATGTGTGTATAATTATATACATGTTTGGACGTCAGTATATATATATATATATGTATAATTACATACGCTACATACTTATACCCATACATACAGACATACAGACATGCAGATATACAGGCATACATAAATATATGCACATACGTACATATGAAAATACCTCTAGATAACCACCATGGCGAAACTTGACACCTTTAAATCATAAGGACTTCTCAAACCAGTCTCGTCTCCTCGCTCTTCATCACACCCTTCTCCGTTCTCGCTGCACAAGTCCAGCGCAAAGCGGTTGGGTTGGGTTTCGAAACCTTACCCTCGAACAACACGACATGCTTGCCGAAACGCTCATCGTATGTCCCGTGCGGGAGATCTTCCACAGGGACACCAACAAGGAGTCCCGTTCAAAATGAGCACGACCCACACATCTGGCTGCTTCAATTGTTCTTATGCGTGGCCTTGGAGGTCTGGACCACTTCCATGGGGCCGGTCTGTCGTCCTGAGTGGTTGGCTAGACGGTCCCGAGGCCCAGCGAATGCCCCAGACGCCGAACATAACAAAAAGCCGTGCCCGTTTGCAATTTCTGTTGGAGCGTCGGATCTCTGAGAACCGGTGCCGCTCGTCGTGCTGACTCTTCCCGCGCCCTTTCCTTAGATCCGACGTTGCAAACGAAAATGCCACGTCGCATCAAAAAAAACGACCCGATCCCTAGACAATGTCTCTCTGCGTAAAATGTTTCAAGCCGGATCGACATGTGTGAGGTCCCCAGGGCCCGAAATCGAGCGAAGACGCGCGGCTCGAAAAACTTTGGTCGCCAGGATCTCAATGACTTCGATCGCACCCAAAGCACGGGCCGCGCCCCGCACGGGCCCCGCCCGGCCTCCGCCAGCTCCGCGTCCGCCCCGGCCCCGGCGGCCGCGGCGAGGTCCGCGCGGCGGCGCAGGAGGCCGAGCGCGCGCTGCAGGGAGTCCTGCAGGGGGGAAGCCAGGCGTCGTCTTGTGGGGGGTAGATCTTTTTGACGAACGAACGACGAACACACCAGGAATCCTAGAGGCCCCAAGAGGCCCCTGGAGGCACCAGGAAGCCCCAGTAGGTTTCAGGAGGCCCCAGGAGGCCCCAGGAGGACCCAGGCTCATGCGCAGAGACGCGCTCGTACTACTGAGGCTCATTCACACTCCAGTTCATTCTCAGTTAGATTCATTACCAGACCGTCACAACTGAAGCCCGTTTATACTCGAAAGCTCTTGCGCCTAGACATTCACGGCGGACATATGGGGAGCTCCACGAACAACGAACACACCAGGGATTGACCGAAACAGTGTTTTTCGTTTTGGTTTTGCCGTCGTTGTCCCTTCTTCTGTTTTCGTCCCGCCGCTGCTTCCAGACGCAATCAAAACGAAACGGCCCACGAGATCGCCAAAACACAGCCTGGGTCGACCCCTTGTCCTGAAGGGGAGGCCGGGCGTCGTCTTGGGGGGGATGGATGTTTTGAACGACCGAGCAACACACACCCATCTCGGGGATGGACAGACCTCCCTTTAGTAAAACGTGGTTTAGTGAAAACGACCTGAGGCCCAAACCTGGCGGGCGCAAGCCTGGAAAATAACGGCCGCGGCGCCCTCTCGAGAACCAAAAACGGACAATTCACTAATCGACGTGTCACTGTTGGGGGTTCTGTCCAGCCCCGACCATCCCCTGCGGGGGATCGGAGGGAGGAGTGCCTGGGAGCCGCCTTGGCGCTGCCGAGGCCTGGGTCCCGCGCGCGAGCGCCGGAGACGCTGCGCAGGAGCTGCGCAGGCGCTGGCGACCCACGAGCGGGGAACGAACCGGAGAGCGCCTGCCCGACACGCTGCGGGTTCGAGCCAAGCCACCGCGACGCTCACTGGCCGGCAGCCGTGGGGATGTGGAGCCCCGAAACGGTGCGGTGAGAGACCGTGCGGTGACCTCGGAATCGAAGGATTGCAAACAAAAACTCCTCCTCCTCCTCCTCCTCCTCCTCCTCCTCCTCCTCCTCCTCCTCCTCCTCCTCCTCCTCCTCCTCGTGAACGAAGGGTTTTTTTGCAATCCTTAGAACGAAGGTCTTTTTTGCAATCCTTCGTTTTTGTTGCAATCCTTCGTCCAAGACCTCACCGCACGGTCCGTCACCGCACGGTCTTGGGACCTCGGAGACCCCCGTCGCCCGAGGCGTCCTCGGAGAACGGTCCCGAGTCCCAAGACCGCGCGGTGACCCCGCATCCCCACCGACTCGCCACACGGTGCGGTCACCACCCCGCTTTGGGGGCCCCCGAGGAGAAGAGGCTGGTCTGTCCCAGCTTGCCCGCTTCTTCTCTCAAGCCCTCCTCCTCCTCCTCCTCCTCCTCTTCCTCCTCCTCCTCCTCCTCCTCCTCCTCCTCCTCCTCCTCCTCCTCCTCCCCTTCCTCCTCCTCGGGCGCCGCTTCCGGGCCCCCCCCGCGTGCGCAGGCTCTTGAGGGCCACCAGGCGCCGCCACCGCCGGAACGGACGCGAACGTCGAAGGGGCTCGTTCCCCATCCTCCCCAACTGCCCAATTATCCCCTCGCTTGCCCTCGCCACTGCCAAATTATCCCCTCCCCACTGCCAAATTATCCCCTCCCCACTGCCAAATTATCCCCTCCCCACTGCCAAATTATCCCCTCGTTACCCGTCCCCCCCTCGCTCGTCCTCCTCCCTTGCCCTGCCAAATTACCCCCCTCTTCGCCTCCACGCCCTCTCACACGATCGCTCACTCGCTGGCTTGCTGACAGCACGGGATGCGCCAAAACGGCAGCAAGGTTCCCGATGGGGGCGCGAAGAAGACAGCACCGTTCTCAACACGGACGTGGCCTGAACTGACACGAAAGCCCCGCTCCAAAAAAGGAGTGCAGCCGTCGCCGACGCGAAACCAAAGTCAATATGTTGTCGAGCCAACGACTCAACGATATTCCACAAGTCTCCTGTCTCATGCGACACGGGCCGGACCGTCTTGGGTCAAGGCATCTCCGAGCCGAGATCTGGAAGGGCGTCTCCAACGAGATTGGCCCGACCATGCTGAACATGTGAAGAAGTCTCTGTGCGACCGCCCCTCGGCCGCAACGAGCATCTGACACAGCGGACCCGAAGGGTGGGCGCAAGCTGACCTTTTGGCGTCGGCACTTCTGCACTTGATAAAGATATCCCTGCTTTCATCACCATGACGCCAGCGCCGGGAAAGCCGGGATGGCTCCACAGGAACCACAACCTTGTGCGACGTGCGCATCCCGCACGACCGATTGCACGACCTGGTGCGCACAGTGTTGAGGCCCCCTCTGCACCAAACCCGTCCGCCCGAGTCCGACGACCCCCGCCGCACATCGAGTTGCCCGAGTTGATCGGAGAGGGCAGGGTGTGGATGGCATCGGCGGCGAGCCCAGGGGGGAAGTGAGAAGAAGAATGTTTTGTTTCAGAAAGCTCGGGAATCCCTGGCCTTCTGGGAGTTTTCGTAGCCTCCCCCGACGACTCACCGACCGCCCCGAATGGCCTGCCAAGAGCCAACAGGTGTCCTGAGGACTCCAGCAATGTTCTTAGAACGCACACACACAAAGCATCAAAACAAGACAGTCTCGGCCAGAAGCGTTCTAGAGAACATCTCGTGCAAACCACCGAAGGTTCTCAGAACATGTTCCAGTAGGCCTGTAGGCAAGCCTGGATCGGGGAGACGTAGGACTCGGGTACAGGGGACTCGGGTTGGCCTGACGGGGCCATACTAAAATTGACGAGACGCGATCTGAACTTTGACGCGAGCTCCCGCTGCAAACATCCCACGAAAACGGGACCGCCGCCGCCCCTGACAGGACAGGGGGCCCCCGCGACTTTTTGAGTCGACGCAGGCGAACAAATTAGGGCACGTGGCAGGAGCGCGAAAACGGGCGGAGGAGTGCCCGGGAGGCTGCGGGGGGGCAAGCTCAGAATGTCAAGGCAGTCGCGCGCGGGCTGGCGTGAACCCCGGCAACACCCCAGCACCCCAAACCCATTCCAGCCCTGGGCTTCGAGCGAGGGCGCTGGAAGGCAGGAATGATGAGGACCCAGACCCCCGACGTCGTGATTTCTTCATGACGTGACCCCCAGGAAGCCTGGACCCCTTCCCGGGGACCGATTTTTAACCCTGAGTCGTTTCTGGACAGTCCCGAGGCCCAGCGAGGGCCCCTGGAGGCTGGAAATAAAGAAAAAACCTCCCGCCGCGATGTCTTCGCAACGCGAGGAGGTTTGGGGAGGGAGCAACGTGGTATTTTTCCCTCCACACGTTGACCCCGGGAGATCTGGACCCCTCTCTCCCAGGACCGAGCACTCCATCCTGCGAGCCACTCTTGGGCTGGTCCCAGGGCCCGGCGAACACCGCCCGCCGCGATCGTCTTCGCAGCGAGGTGACGAACAAAAAATAAGGTGAGACAGAGCGGGAAGCCCGGAGTCGGGAGCGGCCAAGAGGGGGGTGGGGTGTCCAAGAGGGGGGGGTGCAAATCATGACCAGCGGCACGTGCGCGGCCCAGCGGGGGGGCCAGGGACGTAATGAAACAGGAAGAGGCGCCCTGAAACCTGTGGAAAATACCATGGCCCGCGCCATGATATCCCCCCCCCCCTGTAAGAACGGTTTTTTGAAGGCAAATCTGCCTTCAAAAGAACGGTTTTTTGAAGGCAGATCTGCCTTCAAAAAACCGTTCTTACACTGAAGGCAGATCTGCCTTCAAAAAACGGTTCTTACAGAATTTGTTGAAGGCAGATCTGCCTTCAAAAAACCGTTCTTACAGAGTAGACCAGTCCTCACCCCCCTCACTGCCGCCCCCGACAGAGGGGGGGGTGGTCCTGCTCGGACGGGGACGGGGAGCGGCTGCGCGAGGAACCCGCCGGCGTGGCAAACTGCGCCGCCTGTGGGTGCCCCTCGCCGGCGGCCTCGCGGCAGGCGCGGCCGGGGCGGGGGGCGCGGGAGGTGCAGGGCGGGGGCTGGTCTTAGGTTGGGCATGTCCTTCGACAGGCGGATTTGGAACGACATGTTGAACCTTTTTCTACAAACGACCATCAGCACATACCCAAACATGCGAAAAGCATCCCCATCATATGTTCCATTCATTTTGGATATTCCTCCTGAAGAGGAACACGCCCAAATTAAGACTAACTAGCCCATACCCGCTGACCCGGGAGCATGTGAACCGGTTGGGGTCCCAGAAGGGGGGCCGAACGCACATATATATATATATATATATATCAGTAGCCGCCGCCTCCCGAGGTCCAGGGGGGAGACGCCGAAGGCAGGATGGGGCTCGCTGCATAGGGGATGTGCGGTGAACTGCGGGGGGGGATCAGGAGAGGGAGGAGGAGGAGGAGGAGGAGGAGGAGGAGGAGGAGGAGGAGGAGGCGGAGGAGGGAGGAGGAGGGAGGAGGAGGAGGACGAGGAGGAGGAGGAGGAGGACGAGGAGAAGGAAGATGAGGAGGAAGAGGAGGAGGAGGAAGAATGGAGCGCGCGACCACAGGTTTCCACACCACTCGGCCCGTGCCGCTTCGCACCATGAAACGCCACACGATTTGTGGCGACATCCTCGCATCATCATCAGCATCATCATTATCATCATCATCAGCATCGTCATGATCACCATGCTCGCCATCGTCTTCGTCACACCTCTCACACGTTTCGTGGCCCAATCGGGAGCTCCACTCAAGGTCCTAGTGGCGCAGTCCGCATGGCGGCACCACCCCATTCTGGCACACCCCTCACACGTTTCGTGGCCCCATAGGGAGCTCCAACTAAGGTCCCAGTGGCGCAGTCCGCATGGTGGCGCCGCCTCACTTTGGAACACCCCTCACACGTTTCGTGGCCCCAGAGGGAGCTCCACCAGTGGCGCAGTCCGCATGGCGGCGCCGCCCCATTTTGGCACACCCCTCACACGCTTCGTGGCCCCATAGGGAGCTCCACCTAAGGCCCCAGTGGCGCAGTCCGCATGGCGGCGCCGCCTGATTTTGGCACACCTCTCACACGTTGCCTGGCCCCATAGAGAGCTCCACCTGAGGTCCCAGTGGTGCAGTCCGCATGGCTGCGCCGCTCCATTTTGGAACACCCCTCACACGCTTCGTGGCCCCATAGGGAGCTCCTAAGGTCCCAGTGGCGCAGTCCGCATGGCGGAACCACCCTATTTTTGCACACCCCTCACGCGTTTCCTGGCCCTACTGGGAGCTCCACCTAAGGTCCCAGTGGTGCAGTCCGAATGGCGAGCCGCCCCATTTTGGAACACCCCTCACGCGCTTCGTGGCCCATAAAAAGGAGGCTCTACATCAGGCCCCAGTAGCAGCGCCCGCATGACGACCCCGCCCCATTTCGGCACACTCTTCACGCGCTTCGTGGCCCCATAAGGAGATCCACCGAAGGCGATACTCACAACGACGGCATTCACAACTGAATATGGTTGGGTCCTTCGCACTGCGTTGGAGTCCTGGGGAGGGGTTGAAGAGATCAGGTCATCGGAGGTCTGGTCAAGCCTCCTCCGCGGGTAGCACTTCTGTCCATATCCACTGCAGCTTGGAGTCTCGGGCTCCCTTCCCCAGAAGCCCCAGGCGCACTGGATGCGGATAACACGCTGTCCCCTTCAGGCCCGCTGTTCATCCATGTCCAGAGCGCCTCGGCCGTGTGGCGCCCCTTCCCAGAAAGTCCAAGACGTGATGGATATGGATGGAGTATTGCCTGGATCCTCCCCGACAACCCGCGAGGGGGGCCTCCTCCGCGCGCCCCGCGGGCCGCATCCCGCGCAACACGGCGGCGAAGTCCCGCTCCGCGGCAGAGAGCCGCCGCGCCGCCGCGTCCTGGGGCGCGCAGGGGGGAGAGGAGGAGGGGGAGGAGGGGGAGGGGGAGGAGGAGGAGGAGGAGGAGGAGGAGAGGAGGAGGAGGAGGAGGAGGAGGAGGAGGAGGAGGAGGAGAGGAGGAGGAGGGAGGAGGAGGAGGAAGGAGGAGATAAAGGAGGAGATAAAGGAGGTGATAAAAGGAGGAGGTGGAGGAGGCGGAGGAGGGAGGAGGAGGAGGAGGAGGAGGAGGAGGAGGAGGAGGACGAGGAGGAGGAGGAGGAGGAGGAGGAGGAGGAGGAGGAGCTCTCTCCGCCAGGATGTTTTGTGCTCGTGCTGTATGGCGCTCCTGCGGCAGCCCACCTTGCCCTGCCCTGTCCCTCGCCCTCTTCGGTCCTGCCTGTGCCGTCCCAGCGCCTCGCCTCGCTCCCCCCGCGCGGTCGGTACAGCAGGAGCTCGACCACAGACTCCTCCTCCTCCTCCACCTCCTCCTCCTCCCCTCTCCTCCTCCAACTCCTCCTCCTCCTCCTACTCCTCCTCCCTCCTCCTCCTCCTCCTCCTCCCTCCTTCCTCCTCCTCCTCCTCCTCCCCTCCTTCCTCCTCCTCCTCCTCCTCCTCCTCCTCCTCCTCCTCCTCCTCCTCCTCCCTCCTCCCTCCTCCTCCTCCTCCTCCTCATCCTCCTCCTCCTCCTCCTCCTCCCTCCTCCTCCTCCTCCTCCTCTCCTCCTCTCCTCCTCCTCTCCTCCTCCTCCTCCTCCCTCCTCCTCTCTCCTCCTCCCTCCCTCCTCCTCCTCCTCCTCCTCCCTCCTCCTCCTCCTCCTCCTCCTCCTCCTCCTCCTCCTCCTCCTCCTCCTCCTCTCTCTCCTCCGCCTCTCCACTCCTCCTCCTCCTCCTCCTCCTCCTCCTCCTCCTCCTTTATCTCCTCCTCCTCCTCCTCCTCCTCCTCGTCCTCCTCCGCCTCCTCCGCCGCCGCCGCCGCCGCCGCCGCCGCCCCCCAAGACGTCCATTGATGTTGGTATGGGAACTTCACGGCTTCCGCAGTAGAACCATCGAGCCCCAAGAAAACAAGCGATCCTGCTTCTTGGTATGGGTTGCCACTGTACCTTCTTCTCTCTCCCCCCGCAGCCCGCGCCCGGGTGTGCGCATGGCATGTGTGATCCTCTGAGGCGGATCCCTGCCCCTGGCTTCTGAGTGGGCTGGTCGCGCGCGCGCTTCTCCACTTTCCGACCTTCCACGCCTGGACTCTGCGCGCGAGGCCGCCATTTTTTTATGAGATAAGACGTATCTACACATATATATATATATATATATATATATATATGTATACCAGACTGCGGTGGCGCTTCGCGCCATGCACCTTGGTCCTTGAGGTTTGATATGCAGGCGGAATGACAGGAAGGTCAAGCCGACAATTTAAAAATAACTCCTTGTTGCCTTTTCCAGCATCGCCACTAACATGATGTTGTTCGTAATCCGTCCTCCATGCATATTTTTCCTCATTCTCGCCATACCCTGCGCAATTTCCCCATCCTCCGCAGCTCTTTTTGCGGAGGCTCCTCCTTGGAGAGCCGCTGGGGGCCTCACACAAGTTTCAGGCTTTCTTTTAAGGTCTTCTGGAGGCCTCCTGGGCGTGTTCTGAAGGTTCTGGGGGCTTCCTCGGGCCACCCTGCATCCAACCGCGCTCTCCCTGAACGACCGGGTCACGATTTGGAATGCTTCGGAGGGTGTATTGGGGCCGTCTTGGGCCGCCATGGGGCTCTCTTAGGGTCATCTATGACCCCTGTTGTCTCTTGGACTGCCTGGAAGTCCTTTCGGATGGTTGTGGGGCGATTTGGGAGCCTCCCAAGCGGCTTCGGATGCCCAGAAGACTGCCGTACTGGAGCGTCGGGAAGCCGAAAAGAGGAGAACCCCAAAATTCACCAAAAACCCATAGAAAATCAACGATTTTTGCCTCCTGGGGCCCTTGGGAGTGATGTTGGAGGCTTTTTGAAGCTTTTGGGGCCATCCTGGAGGCCTCTTGGGCCATCTTGAGGTCACGTCGGTCACTCTTGGAGCGCTCTTGTGCTATCTTGGGGGTCTCTGGGACGTCTCCGATGACCCCCCCGATCGCCCTAGGTGTGCTGGGAAGGCTTGGCAAAACGCCCTGCGAGGCCTGGGGGGCCGCTTCGAGGCCCGTCCGGAGGGTCCCAAAGCCCCAGATCCCGGGAGTCAATTTTGTTTTAGGGGGGGTCCCCCCGCCCGGGCTTATTAATATACAGGAAGAGGGATATAGATGTCACCCCCGCAACCCGGCCCGCGACCCACCCGCGACCCACCCCGCGACCCACCCACCCGCGACCGGTCCCGCGACCCACCCGCGACCGGCCCGCCGCGACCCACCCCGCAACCCGCTCGTGACCCACCCGCGACCCACCCCGCGACCCACCCGCGACCAACCCGCGACCCACCCGAGACCCGACCCGCGACCCACCCGCGACCTGCCGTCGACCCACCCGCGACCCACCTGCGACCCAACCCGCGATCCACCCACATTGTCTTAACAAGAAATGGGAGCCTGCGGCGGGCTCGTTGTACAGCCTGCGGCGGGCTTCTCCAGACCCTCGCAGACTGCCGACGTCCCCGCCGCCCCCCTCACTCTTAACCGCAACTGCGGGGTGCTACGTACTGATACTCCTCGCCACCGGGATTCCTGGCACGTTGAGGCGTGGAAGAATGCCACGTGCTGCCTGGCAGGATCTCTGCAATCTTCTAAGAGCCCCTCCCCCCCCTCTCATCGCACCCCGCCGCGCGCACCACCCCTGCTCCCGGAGCTCCCCAGACGGCCAAGACGCCCTGGTGCTCCGAGGCGTCCAAAACGTGCACGATGGCTTTCAGAACAAACCTGGCAGGCCACCAAGGCCGGCAAGATGGTCCAAGCGGCCTTCATGGCGGCCGCAGATAGCCTCGAGAGACGCAAATGGGCGGCCCAAGGAGCCTTCAAGACGGCCCAAGAGGGCTCCAATGGAGCCTCCAGCAGAGCTCGAAGAGGTTAGAATGATCCGGGCGAAAGACCCAACCGTATGCACATGGGAATGCCGCATGGTGGGTTCCGCTTTCGGTGGAACTCGCAATGGGGCCACACACCGTGTAGCGGGTGTGCCAAATGGGCGAGGGGACGCATACGGACCTTGACACTGGGGCCTTCGGTGGAGCTCCCTGTGTGGCCACGAATCGTGTGAGGGGTGCGCCAACATGCATGGGGGGACGCATGCGGTCACTGCCTCCCTTGTTGTATCCAACTCCCTCCTTCGCTCTTTATCCCTCCTTCTTATCTTCCTCCCGCTCCCTCTTCCTATCTCAGAGGCCGCACTAACCGTGGCAGGCAAGGAAGATATCGCCCACAGAGGGGGTAAGCTCGAGAACTTTGATGTGCGGGTTATCGACGTCTTGGGGTATACCTGTTGAGCGGCACACGAGAACGCAGCACGGACAATCCTACAACGAATGTTGTTCTCTATGCGTAGCTCCCCGCTCGCTGGCCAATCCCCGTCCTCCGCACCTGCAGTGGAGGCGTTGACCTAAGGAACCCTAAATAAGGAACGAGGCCCCCATTTTCAATAAGTTGCACTGCGATGTCGTATCGAAACCCTGCGGGAAATCCAAGGCAAACTGCGAAACAATTCGGGAACGCGGAGCCCCTCCCCAACGAAACGGGTTCGTTCTTCAGGGCCCCGACTGTACTTGGGCGCCCGAGTTATCCGGGGTAACTCGGGTCCGGGGTAAGTCGGGTTTGGATTCCCGAAAAGCGAACCCAAAAAATCCCTGACCCGAGTTACCCCTGATGATTCGGGGCTCTGGACGCCCGAGTTATCCGGGGTAACTCGGGTCTGGGGTAACTCGGGTTCGGAACCCCGAAAAACGAACCCGAGTTATCCCTGACCCGAGTTACCCCTGATGATTCGGGGCTCTGATGTACCGCTCCTCCGCCCACCTCGCTCCTCGGAGGGGGAGGAGCGGGACCTGGGGCTCGCCCGACCGCACCTCGTCTGCGGCCCCGCGGCTCGCCCGCTGGCTCTGTCCGGCGTCCTCTCCAGAAGCGCCCCGCCGGCCCAGCTCTGGGCGTGGCTTAATGGGGGGGGGTCACAAATGGGGGGGTCAGAAAAGGTCACCTTTCGTGCCCCTTTCGGGCCCCTCCAGAGCCCCAGGGGGGTCGTTCAGGTACCGTTTGGGTACCTTTTCGGACCACGCTCGCCACCCCCCCATTTATGACCCCCCCATTACGCGGCGCCCAAGCTACTCCCTCCTCGCTCCCCGGGAGTGGAGGCAGCGGGAGAGATCAGAGCAGAAGAGGAGACAACGCCATTCACACAAACATGTGGCGCTCCGCGCGGATTTCTTGGACCTGCGCTGGCCCCCCTCCCTGGCGCGCGGGACGCGCCAGGGGCGGCGCCGGAGGCGCCGCTGGGGGGACCCAGCGCGGATCCAAGAAATCCGCGCGGAGCGCCACAAGTTTACGTATATGGCGGTTGCTCTTCTTCGAATGTTCAATCGCCCGACTCCTCTGTAGAGAATCTCTACCGCGCAAAAACTTGGCAGTGTGAGCAAGGAGGCGGGGGGGGGGCAACATGTTATGGCCCTTTCTGTTCATGGGGCTAGTTCTTCTTCGAAGGAGGGCGCCAGCTCGCGCGCGTCCGAACCAGACATCTAGTACTGCTGCATTCCCATCTTGTAGCATGTCGCTTCCCGAGCGGTGGGGCCAGAAAGCGCCCGCCACGACGCACATACGATAATTAAGATTTCTCGGTGCGCGCGTCGCCCCTGGGGCGGCGCGACGCACACATAGTATACATAGGCTGGGGTGACGCTCGGCGGTGGACAGACCTCCCTTCAATAAACCTCCCCTTAGTGAAAACGGCCTGGGACCGAAACCGACGGACCTGGACCCCTCAAAAATGACGGCCGCGACGCCCTCTCGCGAACCGAAAACGGCCAATTCCTTAATCGACGTGTCAGGGTACTCCACATTTCGTAATAAAAGGGAGGGGGTCTGGACCCTCCAAGACAAGCCATTTCAGACCTCCCCCGTGGGAGAACCCTCCAACACATCGTCCCCAGACCCCCCAGGCCCTCAAGATGGCCTGAAAGAGACCCCCCACCGAAATGAGACCCCCCTCCCTTTATTACGAAATCTGGAGCAGTCATCACCCCCCTCTTTTCCGCCCCCGAGCGACGGCGACCAGGCGAAGACGACCGGGCGCGCTGCCCCAGAGGGAGGAGGGGGGAGGGGGAGGAGGGAGGAGGGGGAGGAGGGGGGAGGGAGGAGGAGGAGGAGGAGGAGGAGGGGGGGAGGAGGGAGGAGGGAGGAGGAGGAGGAGAGGAGGAGGAGGAGGAGGAGGAGGGGAGGAGAGGAGGAGGAGGAGGGGCAGGAGGGGGGAGGAGGAGGAGGACGAGGAGGAGGAGGAGGAGGAGGAGGAGGAGCAGGAGGTCTGTCCACCCTCGAGACGCCCCGAGAGGGGATGGGGCGCGGAGGGGGGCAGTCGGCCGTGCCCACGGCTGCCGGGCGGGCAGGCGTCCACGCTTCCGGCGCTGGGTCCGTGGGAGCCGCCGCGCCGCCCCCCCCCCCTGCGCACGACCCAGACCCCCTCGAGTTCTGAAAAAATCACGACGGGAAGTTTCCTACTATTTTTGGCCTTTGGGGGCCCTTGCCGGCCCTCGGGACCGTCAAAAAACGACTCAGGACGAAAAACCGGTCCCGAAATGGGTCGAGACCTCGGGGGGTCGACGTCATGAAAAAATCATGACGTCGGGGGTCTGGGAACAGGGAACCGACCACAAGAAACCTCCCACGAGAAATCCGACACTGAGACCCCAAGACGTCCAGGGCACCCTGGAGGCGAGCGGGGCGTTTCTTGGCATGCGCCCCCACTGTACGGTGACGTTTGCCCCACTTGGCATGGGCCCACCCAAGCGCACCGGCTGCCAGGAACCCTTTTCTTCGGCGGCTCCGACAGGTGCGGCTTGCGAAGGGTGCGGCCTGCAAGCGGCACCCTTCGGGGCACCCAGGGGTGCGGGCGAGGCCCTCGACAGAGCTCTCCGCCGCGCCCCGGGGAGGCCCGACGAGGACAGGGTCGTGCCCCCCAGGCTCCAACGGTGCCGAGCGCAAACCACACCCCGGCGTAACCATACCCGTTGTAGTCGCTGATTTTTTTTGTTTGACACACATTCGGCGACGCCAGCGGCCACGGGAAGGACGGCAGAGAACGGCCGCGGCGCGGAGGAGGGAGCCTCGACCGCCAGCCGTTGGGAACAGGAAAATCGCACAAACACAAACATTCGGAGGTCCACGCGGATTTTTCGGATCGGCACTGGTCCCTCCTGGCTGGCGCGCGGAGCGCGCTCGGGGCGCTGCCGCAGGCGCCGCAAAGAGGTCTGGCGCCGATCCAAGAGCTGCGCGCGGACTTCCGGAAGTTTATGGTGCTGCCGTCTTGGCGGGAGGGCGAGGCGAGGGGGGAGGGGGGGTACGGATGACCAATCGGCGAGTTCCCAGGTGCTGTCTTGATGCTCCTTCTCTCGCATCTCCTTCAGCTCTGGCGTCGTCCCTGCTATTGCGCCGTTCCCTGCAAAAGCCCGAAGAATGCTCATCGGGATGGTTTCCAGAATCCTGGGGACCGCCGGACCTTCAGTATGTCCAAAAACGGATTGTTTCAACAAATATGTTCTTTCGCCAAGTCCCTGCCTTCTGGAACCAACTTGTGCCCAGAACCACGCAACCAATGATCCGCCGAAATGGCTCAACATTAATTATATTTGATCTTCACACATATTTACAGATATACAGAAATAAATATATCTATACATTTACACAACTTTGCACCACAAAGCTGCGTATCCCGATTTCTGTACATATGTGCATTACACAAAGAACATCATGTTCTGGCGGAGTCCTGGCTTGTTGAATCTACTTGAGCCCAGCACCTCGCAACCAGGGACCCGCCGAACTGTATGTTGTTGTTGCCTTTTGACTTTTGCCTGCCACCAGATTCGTTAAGATTTTGCTTAGGAGTTGGATCTCTGAGACTTCTACTGATGTCTTGACATTGTGGAACCCAGCGCGCTGGAAACTATGTGCCAGTCGAAAAAAAAACGATTCTCGATGGATCAGGCGTTAGCCCCCAAAAGCGCTGAACACCAAGGGCCCGCCACCCCAATAGGGAGATCGAGCGATTCCGCATAGCAGGGAGCGCCGCGAGGCGTTGGAGGGACATCCAGGCTGCTATTCAGCTGGCCAATGGGACAGGATGGCGCGGTATATGGAGTTGCGCATAGAACAGACGCAACGCAATCTCACAACGAAGACTCATGCAAACGTTCAGCGGGCGCCCCGTTGTACCACCGCGCTGCCACATGGACGCGGCCACGTGTTTAACGCATGGGGGGGGGGTCGCCACGATAAACATCAGCACTTGGGGCGCCATGTTGCTCAGTAACGCTGCCGCGTGGAATTGCACGCGTGCAGAACCTGTTGTTGTGTCTTGTGGGTGCAGACGGGAGGGAGCCCTGCATGACAACAAACTGCACACATGCAAACTATTGAACGCTGTTTCCGAACGTTGTTTCACGGCTCCGTGCGTAACACAGCCATGCAGTATGCACGCATCTACTCTTCTACTGCAACGCGATTGAACAGAACGGTGCCGTGCTTTCTCGCTTGTCTTCCATCGGGTGCCAGTGCACATCTGCCTCTCCAGTGTGGCGGCGTGGTCGGACAAAGCGATGCCCCTGCAATCTTGGTATGAATCGGGAGCAGCCAAGAGGGGGGTGTCCAAGAGGGGGGGGTGCAAATCATGACCGGCGGCACGTGCGCGGCCCAGCAGGGGGGCCTGGGACGTAATGAAATAAAAAGAGGCGCCATGAAATCTGCGGAGATATCATGGCCCGCGCCATGATATCCACCCCCCCTAGTCATCACCCCCCTCTTTTCCGCCCCCGAATGAAGCGCAGTTGTATCGAGGGGGGGCGGGGGGGGGGAAGGGGGACTGGCGATAAGCTAGCGCCAGTGTGGCAGCCTCCCCGCCGAGGAGGCAGGCCCGCTGGAGAGCCGCAAGGAGAGCAGGGGGACCCCCGAGGTCCCGGCGCCTTGCCGCTCTCGAGCCGGGGACTGCTCGCTGCCCTTGGGTCGGGCCTGTCCCCGTACAGGAGGATTTCGGACGACAGATAAAAATATGAACAAACAAAATCAAGAATAGCCCAAAATAGGGAAAATATCGCCCCCCCCATGTTATGTTTTGGTTATTTCTGGATATCTCTCCTTTATCGGGTCGGGCGAAAGGGGGGGATAGCAAAGGGGGGGTTTGAGAATCAGCTCACGTAGCTGATTCTCCCGGCGCCTCCCGGCGCTGGAGGCAGCTATGTATCGAGGAATGGGCCCCTCGGTGAGGCCGAAACCAGCTGCATGCAGCAAATTTCGTAACCCCCCCTTTCCCAATCCCCCCCTTTCGCCCAGCCCGACTGTAGAGGGACAGGCCCGACTTTAGCGCTACTCCCTCGAGCCCGGGGGCGAACTCGCACGTCGGCGCGGGCCGAGGAGCGGCCCGGAGGGCGGGGGCCCCGGGCTGCACCTGGCGGCAGCCCTTGTCGCCACGCCGGATCTCCGGGAGGAGGGTTAGGTCGGCCCTGTCCCCCTCCAGGGGGATTTTGAGGGAAAAATATAGAATACTCTAAAACATATACCAAAATGCAAAGAAATAGTCTATACGATGCAAAATGGAATATTGCAAATACGTCAAAATCGGCCCTGTCCCCCTCCAGGGGGATCTTGAAGGAAAAATGTAAAAACATACACCAAACATGCAAACAATTAGTCCATGCGATGCAACATGGGATATTGCAAATGCGTTAAAATCGTCCCCGTATTATTTTTTGGTTTTACTATTTTTGTATACTCCCCCTGTACAGGGACAGGCCCGACTTCAGGGGAAGGGGGGGGGGAGGAGGGGCCTCCCCGCTCCCCCCTCCCCTGGCGCTGCCGGCCGCCTCGCCCTTGCCCTGGGACCGGGGCAGGGCACCAACTCCCCCCCACCCCCACCCTCCTCCCTCCCTCCCTCCCT